CGGGGGTGTTGTGTCCTGTGCTGTACTCCAAAATAAAGAATTTACAGGTAAGTCAACATTCCCATTATCTGAGTAAGTACAGCATGCAGGGCTTGTATTCATGGACCATGGAACGTCCCAAAGCAGAAAATCGAGGAGTGGGCAAAAACCTAGTGAACAGAAACTGCCAAAATCAGGATCAGAAGCATGAGTCAAGAACTGGAAAACAGATGACAGTTTGCAGCCAAAGCTTGCATCGGGTGAGGCCTGAATAGCTACCTGGTAAACGTTCAAGATCACGTGAACAGAGAACCAAGTGGCAGCCTTGTAAATCTAGGATACAGATAATTGGCGTTGGAAAGCCCAGGAAACACCAACCGACCTGGTGGAATGAGCTCTGATAGTGAAGGGGCGACCCCATTCCTTAAGAGTGTAGACCTTGGAAATAGGTTGTCTGATTCACCTGGCAATGAAAAGAAGAAGCTGGAGGTAGGATTTCCCTTACAAGGGCCTTTAGGTAGGACCAAAAGGAACTCCTTGACAGCCCTGAAAACATCTAAGTAGTGTAAGGGAAATTTCCATGGCAGATTCTGGAGCAGGACAGAAGAAATGGAGGACATAACTGTTTTGGTGTAAAGGAGAGACCACCTTGCTTTGAAAAGACCACCTTGGGTAGAAAAGACAGTCTTGGTCTAAAGACCACCTCGTATCTGTGCAATACAAGAGAAGGCTCTTTACAAGAATGCTACCAGCTCAGAAACATGCCTAACAGATGTTAACGACCACAAATGGTAGAGGTTTATATGAGCAACTCCCTGAAGACCTGATTAAGGATTACGAAGCAAGAAGTTTCTGGAAGAAAATGGTTTAGGGGCAGGGCCGGTTCTTCCACTAGGCAAACTAGGCAGTAGTCTAAGGGCACACTGCCACTAGGGGCGCCTGGACACAGCATAGGCCAGCACGTCATAAATGATCCTTCAGCTGAGGAGAGGGGCGGTACCCCACTGGGATTTTTATTTTTTGCGCTATAAATGAAAAAAGACTGAACATTTAAAAAAAATAAAAAACATTACTTTTTGCTATAAAATATCCAATATAAAAAATTAAAGTTCTTCATAAATTTAAGGCAAAATGTATTCTGCTACATGCCTTTGGTGAAAAAAAAAATCCCAATAAGTGTACAGTGCCTTGAAAAAGTATACATACTCCATATTTTGTTATGTTACAACCAAAACCGTCAATGTATTTTATTGGGATTTGATGTGATAGACACAAAGTGCCACATAATTGTGAAGTGGAAGGAAATGATAAATGGTTTTCAACATTTTTTACAAAGAAATATGTGAAAAGTGTGGCGGCATTTGTATTCAGCCCTCCGAAGTCAATACTTTGTAGGACCCCCTTTGGCTGCAATTGCGGCTGCAAGTCTTTTTGGGGATGTCTCCTTGCACATCTATATAGAGGGACATTTCTGCCCATTCTTCTTTGCAGAATCGCTCAAGCTCTGTCAGATTGGATGGAGAGCGTCTGGGAACACCAATTTTCAAGTCTTGCCACAGATTCTCCATTGGATTTGGGTCTGGACTGTGACTGGGCCATTCTAACACATGAAGATGCTTTGATCAGAACCATTCCATTGTAGCTCTGGCTGGATGTTTCGGGTCTTTGTCCTGCTGGAAGGTGAACCTCCGCCCCGGTCTCAAGTCTTTTGCAGGCTCTTAACAGGTTTTCTTCTAAGATTGCCCTGTATTTGGCTCCATCCATCTTCCCATCAACTCTGACCAGCTTCCCTGTCCCTGCTGAAAAAAAGCATCCCCACCACATGATGCTGCCATCGCCATGTTTCACAGTGGGGATGGTGTGTTCAGGGTGATGTGCAGTGTTAGTTTTCCTCCACACATAGCGTTTTGCTTTTAGGCCAAAAAGTTAATTTTGGTCTCATCTGACCAGAGCCCCTTCTTCCACGTTTGCTGTGTCCCCCACATGGCTTCTCACAAACTGCAAATGGGACTTCTTATGGCTTTCTTTCAACAATGGCTTTCTTCTTGCCACTCTTCCATAAAGGCAGATTTGTGGAGTGCACGACTAATAGCTGTCCTGTGGAAAGATTCTCCCACCTGAGCTGTGGATCTCTACAGCTCCTCCAGAGTTACCATGGGCCTCTTGGCTGCTTCCCTGATGAATGCTCTCCTCCCCGGCCTGTCAGTTTAGGTGGATGGCCATGTCTTGGTAGGTTTGCAGTTGTGCCGTACTTTTTCCATTTTCGAATGATGGATTGAACAGTGCTCCGTGAGATGTTCAAAGCTTGGGAGATTTTTTTAAACCTAACCCTGCTTGAAACTTCTCCACAACTTTATCCCTGACCTGTATGGTGTGTTCCTTGGCCTTCATGATACTGTTTGTTCACTAATGTTCTCTAACAAACCTCTGAGGGCTTCACAGAACAGCTGTATTTATACTGAGATCACATGACACACAGGGGGACTAATCAGGTGACTTCTGAAGGCAATCGGTTCCACTAGAACTTAGTTAGGAGTATCAGAGTAAAGGGGGCTGAATACAAATGCACGCCACTTTTCAAATAATTATTTGTAAAACATTCTGAAAACCATTTCTCATTTTCCTTCCACTTCACAATTATGTGCCACTTTGTGTTGGTCTATCACATCAAATCCCAATAAAAACACATTTACATTTTTGGTTGTAACATGACAAAATATGGAAAATTTCAAGGGGTGTGAATACTTTTTCAAGGCACTGTATATTAATTGGTTTGCATGAAAACTACAGCATCTACAAACAATGGTATAGATAGTGGAATTGTTTTTTTTATACTAGTAATGGCAGCAATCAGTGACAAGCGGGACTGTGATAGGCGGGAATTCTGACACTGGGTGGGAACTGATTAACTGCCACTGACATCCCCAGTGACACTAAAACAGTGGTCAGTCCTAAAAAAAGACACTGAAACTGTACTAATGACACTGGGCAGAAAGGGAATAACATCTGGGGCAAACGAAGGGTTAACTGTGTGCCAGAGAGTGTTTTTACTGTGTACTGTTCCCTGCTTTGCAGGAAGATAAAAACCGGCACATCCCCATTGACAGGAAAGAGATCTGTGTTGTTTACATTCACAGATCTATCTCCTGCCAGTTGCTCTGCTGATCGCTAGATTCCGGCCATGAACTGCAAGACCCGATGATTGACATATAAAGGAGCCAATGACAGCATGGGTAGGCAGGCACGCGCGCCCTCTACCCGGGAAAGCAGAATCGCGTATATACTATATACACGTGATTCTGCACAGAGCAAAGTAAAGCTACATGGGCTGGTCCGCAACTGGTTAAAGCTTAGAATGCTTGGCATGGCTGAAAAGTGATAGACATGGATTCCAAATATCTAAAAATCTTTACTGGCCAGTATATACTGGGCTGACATAGTGTGTGTGAGATTTTGGGGAATAGGACATACAGTATATGAAATTCCAACTCATCTTTTATAGGTAAAGTTGATCCAGGGAATATCCGATTGCCTCTCGGGGGATCAGGAAATCATTTTTTTCCCCTGCAGGAGCAAATTGGATCATGCTTTGCTGGGTTTTTGCCTTCCTCTGGATCAACTGTGGGTGTAGGATTATAACTTTTTTTTTCTTTTAACCACTTCCAGTCTGGACACTTTTACCTCCTTCCTGTTCAGGCTAATTTTCAGCTTTCAGTACTATTATACTTTGAATGACAATTGCACAGTCATGCAACACTGTACCCATTTTTAGCATTTTTTGAGACAGATAAAGCTTTATTTTGGTGGTATTTATTCACCACTGGGATTTTTATTTTTTTTTTGCTATGTAAATGAAAAAGTCCAAATATTTTGAAAAAAAGTGTTTTTCTTATAAAATTTTGCAAATAAATAGCATTTCATCATAAATCTTGGCCAAAATTTATTCAGTTATCTTTTTGGTAAAAAAAAAAAAATAACCCAAACTAATTTATAACCAAAAATTATAATTTTTAAACATTTATTTTTACATTTTTATTTTATTTTTTTATATTATTATTTATGCTTTTTTTTTTTTACATACTGTCACCCTAGCAGTACAGAGTCACCATGGTGACACTATACTACTTGTGGGGGTTGATGAAGATTTTTTTTTATTTTACACTGATTGCTTTTACACCCATAAAGGCTCTAAAAGCAATCATTTCTCCTTCTCTCTGGCTGCATTCTTGCAGCCATTGAGAACTACTGTGTGAGCTGTCATTGGTCACAGCTTGTCACATGGTACAAGGCTGTTGTGAATAGCCCTGTACCATGTGACCTCTGTGATCATTCACAGATTTCACACCTAGTAAGCAATGATGTCAGAAGTGACATCTTGCTTACTACTCTGCATGTGATCACTGATTGGCCAATCAGTGATCACATGATTGGGACCTCGCACAGAGGTTCCGTCCAACAATCGGTGTTCCACTGTGTCAGGGAGCGCGCACAAGCAGGGTGCGGGGAGGCCGTTTATATTCAACGGCCGGACGGGAGGTGGTTAATGGTTGAACTGGATGGACTTTTGTCTTTTTTCAGCCAGACTAACTATGTAACATGAACTTTTGAAATGACGTAATGTTGAACAATTCCCTTCTTCCAGCATATTCTCAGTAAAGACTCATCAGCATCCAAGAATTACCCGGAATGTGTTTTTTATTGAAGTTGAACCCGTTTCACTCTGGGAGTACGAGATATTAAGATATACTGTAAAAAATGCTCCTGGGCAGCACATTGGTTGAATACTGCTCTGTTTAATTGACTAGCGGTTTTCCATAATTTTTTTCAAAGTAGTCCACCATTAAAGATCCTAGTGTGGGCACAGACCCATTATAGCCTGTGACGTCGTGATACAGGAACCTCTTTATCCTCTACAGGGAGGGAGACGTGAGATTTTACGTGAAAACGGTCCACAGCCTAAGAATAGTTTTGTTAACCTCTGAATGTTCTGGATGTGATTCGTTCTTTGGGCAGCGAGTCCATCACAGTGTGGGAAAATTACTTCTGTCCAGTGTGAAGCCTTGCATTCCTGGCAAGAAGAAATCTTTTTGAAAAACATTTCCTGCAAACCGCGCGTGAAGACGGCTACTCCCCTTGTGAACCTTTTCGTGAATATTAAGAACCGACTTCCTGGAAAAACATTTTCCACATTCAAAACATGCAAACGGCTTTTCCCCTGTGTGAGTCCTTACATGCGCAATAAGATTGGCTCTTAGAGAGAAACATCTCCCGCACTCTGAGCATGAATAAGGCTTCTCCCCCGTGTGAATCTTCTCATGCCTGATAAGGTTCGACTTCTCCGAGAAGCGCTTCCCACATACCGAACATGAAAAGGACTTCTCCCCCGTGTGGACCTTTTCGTGTCTAATAAGGTTTGATTTTTGGGAGAAACATTTCCCACACTCAGAGCATGAAAAAGGATGCACTCTTGTGTGAGTTCGTTGATGCGAAACAAGATGGGCGCTCTGCTTAAAGGACTTTCCGCACACCATACAGGAAAAAGGCTTCTCTCCCGTGTGAGACCTCTGGTGTGTCGCAAGTTTTGATCTTTCGCTAAAACATTTTCCACAGTCAGGACATGGTATGCCCTTAGGACATCCAGGATCTTCACGAATTGCAACGGGTTGAAAATCATCAGAAAGCCATCCCCCGTGTGAAAAGGGACCAGATGACAGATCTGCACTGTAATGTGCTGGATGGAGATTAGGGATCCTGGGGTTTTCTTTTGTGGAATCAGATATAATGTCCTCCTCATCTTCTATTTCACAATCTGGATAAATAATAGGATGGTCCTCTGTGCTATTCCCTCTATATGGTTCCCCTGTATGAAATGGAGGGGAGATGAGAACGGTTATACTTTCCGGAATATGGGATGTCTGTAAGAATCTGCTACGTCTATGTCTCACACCTTCTAACACTGGCCTCAAAGACTGCCCCACATTCTGTAGAAGCATACAAGCTCCATCCACATGTTTCCCCCCGCAATATATATATATACACATACATACACAGGCATACCTCGGTTTACGTAATTTTCGGTTTACGAATGAAAATCCATTGAAAATAATGGCTCGGTTTACTAATTTTTTTGCAATACGAACGGATTAATTGGTTTTCAGTGCATTTACAAATTAATTTTTAATCATGTCCCTGTACAGTATTTATTCCTTTAAAGTGCACTTTATAAAGAGTTTTGAACAGATAAAAAAACTTTTTTCTTACTTTTTTCTGACCTACAGAGCGGGTTAATTGGTTTTCAATGCATTCCTATGGGAAACTGCATTACGGTGTACTAATTTTTCGCAATACGAAAAGACCTGCAGAACTAATTAAATTCATAAACCGAGGTACACCTGTGTGTATGTATATATATATATATATATATATATATATATATATATATACAGTGGGGATCGAAAGTCTGGGCACCCCAGCTAAAAATTTGTATTAATGTGCATAAAGAAGCCAAGGAAAGATGGAAAAATCTCCAAAAGGCATCAAATACAGATTAGACATTCTTATAATATGTCAACAAAAGTTAGATTTTATTTCCATCATTTACACTTTCAAAATAACAGAAAACAAAAAAAATGGCGTCTGCAAAAGTTTGGGCACCCTGCAGAATTTATAGCATGCACTGCCCCCTTTGCCAAGCTAAGACCTGCCAGCGTCATGGATTGTTCTCAGTCATCGTCTGGGAAGACCAGGTGATGTCAATCTCAAAGGTTTTAAATGCCCAGACTCATCTGACCTTGCCCCAATAATCAGCACCATGGGTTCTTCTAAGCAGTTGTCTAGAAAACTGACACTGAAAATAGTTGACGCTCACAAAGCTGGAGAAGGCTATAAGAAGATAGCAAAGCGTTTTCAGATGTCAATATCCTCTGTTCGGAATGTAATTAAGAAATGGCAGTCATCAGGAACAGTGGAAGTTAAAGCAAGATCTGGAAGACCAAGAAAAATATCAGACAGAACAGCTCGCAGGATTGTGAGAAAAACTATTCAAAACCCACGTTTAACTGCACGATCCCTCCAGAAAGATCTGGCAGACACTGGAGTTGTGGTACACTATTCCACTATAAAGAGATACTTGTACAGATATGGTCTTCATGGAAGAGTCATCAGAAGAAAACCTCTTCTACGTCCTCACCACAAAAAATCATCGTTTGAACTTTGCAAATGAACATATAGACAAGCCTGATGCATTTTGGAAACAAGTTCTGTGGACCGATGAGGTTAAAATTGAACTTTTTGGCCGGAATGAGCAAAGGTACGTTTGGGGAAGAAGGGGCACAGAATTTAATGAAAAGAACCTCTGTCCAACTGTTAAGCATGGGGTTGGATCAATCATGCTTTGGGGTTGTGTTGCAGCCAGTGGCACAGGGAACATCTGACGAGTAGAAGAAAAAATGGATTCAATAAAATTTCAGCAAATTTTGGATGGTAACTTGATGCCATCTGTGAAAAAGCTGAAGTTAAAGAGAGGATGGCTTCTACAAATGGATAATGATCCTAAACACACCTCGAAATCCACGGGGGATTACATCAAGAGGCGTAAACTGAAGGTTTTGCCATGGCCTTCACAATCTCCTGACCTCAACATAATTGAAAATCTATGGATAGACCTTAAAAGAGCAGTGCGTGACAGACAGCCCAGAAATCTCAAAGAACTGGAAGACTTTTGTAAGGAAGAATGAGCAAAGATACCTCAAACAAGAATTGAAAGACTCTTGGCTGGCTGCAAAAAGCGTTTACAAGCTGTGATACTTGCCAAAGGGGGCAGTACAAGATATTAACTCTGCAGGGTGTGCAAACTTTTGCAGACACCATTTTTTTTGTTTTCTGTTATTTTGAAAGTGTAAATGATGGAAATAAAATCTAACTTTTGTTGACATATTATAAGAATGTCTAATCTGTAATTTGATGCCTTTTGGAAATTTTTCCATCTTTCCTTGGCTTCTTTATGCACATTAATACAAATTTTTAGCTGGGGTGCCCAAACTTTCGATCCCCACTGTATATACACAGCTTGAAAGTGGTTTACCAGGGTTTATGGCTGCAGCTATCATAATATAATTTTGTTTTTCAGCTTGGTAATTGTCTTTTTCATGAAAGCAGTCAGTGGCTAATTAACTGCTGGATCGCATTCAGTAGCAGTGGGAGGGGTCGTTTCCCCCTTCCCGCTGCTCGCTGGTGTTTCTCGGGCTTACCGCTTTTTACCGGCAAGTCCAGGAAATGATCTGACAGTTCGCACAGATGGCCATAGAGGTGATCAGAGAAAGATCATTTTCTGATTGTTTCTCTATGATCTTGGAGGACTGGAGCAACTGTCACTGCCAAGGGCAGAAGTAAACTATTTTTTTTTGATCTTCTGCTTTTAAAGGTAGAGGAGAGATCTGGAGTCTTATAGACCCCCAGATCTCTCCATAAAGAGGACCTGTCATCCCTTATTTCAAGGGATGCTTACCTGTAAGTCTAACTTCATTTACTCAATTTACTTAATTTACTTTAATTTACTTAATTTTTGCAACCAGAATCATAACAATTGATGACCTATCATTTGACGGATGTTTAGAAACGTCCTCCTGCATTGGCAGTGCTCTCGTCTGGCCGCTTATCGACATGGCCCGGACGGGAAGAAGTTAAAAAAATATTTTACATTTATTTTATTACATTTTTTTAATTCTTACACTGTCCCTTTACATTTTTTAAATGACTTTTATTGCTGCCACAAAGAATGCACACAATGTGACAACAATAAAGCATAATGGGTCCTCTTTATGAAGAGATGTGGGGTCTATAAGACATCACTCCTCTACAATGGAAAGCATCAGATTACAAAAAAACAATGATCTAATGCTTTCCAAAAAAGAGAATGGTATTGTTTACATCAGCCGTGAACCAGAAGTGATGTCATGACATCTCTCCTGGCCTCCTAACCCATAGAAATGAGGGAAGACCACCTTTCCTGTATGGCCAACCGCCACCACTGCCAGATCGGTTCCTGGGCTTCCCGATGAGCCAGGTAAGCCCAAAAACCTCCGGAAAGCGAGCTTCAAAAAGTAATTCAACAGCTAATTAGCCGCTTGGATTAATTTTAGCAGAAAGAGCAACACTGCAGAAAATTTTAATACTGGGGTTTGGCATCTAGCTGCAGCCATAGCCTCAGTATTAAACTGCCATGACGTAAATTCCCAGTTAGGCAGTTGGCAAGTAAATATAGCAATCTGACAATCTTTATGCTGATTTAAAACATGCTATAAGCTGGCGATCTCCATTAACAACTCTGCAGACACTGAAGGCAAATGAGCCGTGTGTTTCCTGCGATGGAAGCATTATACAATCAGGAACGGTCTGATAGACACTCCTGACCCCCCCACTCTCTGGAGGCATCTCCTCCTCCTTACATGGCTCATACCTGGAGTCTACTGGAGGCTGATGGCTCCTGACTCCCCCACTGGACACATACTGTCCCCCCATTACTGTCTACTGACAGAGGAGGGGGGAGAAGAAGAGATGGTTGTAGTGACTGAACAAGGAGAATCTGGGACTCATTCTCTGGATTTAGTGTTTTTTACTCACCTGGGCTGATCTCTGGAGACGTTTCCTCCACTTTTATCCTCATATGGTTTATTTTGTCTTCAGATACGACATATCGAGTCTCTCTGGTGTCTGTGAATGTGAAGATGAGAGTGAAGCCCCCTGTACTGAGATGTATAAGGGACCCCAAGCATTGCGTATGCAAGGAGATAGATCATGTCTTATGGCTGGTAACATACAATGACAAGATATGAGGGGAAGCCGGAGTCTAATAGAGGCTGATGGCTCCTGTCCCCCCCCCCACTGGGCACATATTGTCCCCTCATTACTACCTACTGACAAAGGAGGGGGGAGAAGAAGAGATTGTTGTAGTGACTGAACAAGGAGGATCTGGGACTCTTCTCTGGATTTAGTGATTATTCCTCACCTGGGCTGATCTCTGGATAAGTTTTCTCCTCTTTAATCATTATGTCGTTTTCTTCATCCTCAGATCCAATGTATCTCTGAGTGTCTCTGGTGTCTCCGGGGTCTGTGAATAAAGAGGAGAGTGAAGCCCCCTGTACTGAGATGTATGAGAGACCCCAGAGAGTGTGTGTGGGGGAGACTGGTCACGTCTCAATGACATAATGTGAGGAGGACAGCCGGAGTCTAATAGAGGCTGATGGCTCCTGACCCCCCCACTGGGCACATACTGTCCCCCCATTACTGTCTACTGACAGAGGAGGGGGGAGAAGAAGAGATTGCTGTAGTGACTGAACAAGGAGGATCTGGGACTCTTGTCTGGATTTAGTGTTTATTACTCACCTGGGCTGATCTCTGGAGGATCTCCCTTCTCCTTATGTGGCCCATCACCCCTTACATGTGTCTCTTCTGCTTCCTTTCTACTTTCTGTTATAGACAGAATACAGTTTTCTTCCTACATAACCCAAAAAAAAAATTAAAGTTATTTTAAATGTTGAATTATATCCACAATTGGTTTTGGATAGCAGAATTCTTGCTTCTGTAATGATCACAAAGCTAATGAAGGCAGTCCCCAAGTTACAAACATTCGAGTTACAGACAAAAAAGAGGGAGATACAGGAAGTTAGTCTGGCTGAAAAAAGACAAAAGTCCATCCAGTTCAACCAAAAAAAAAAGTTATAATCCTACAGCCACAGCTGATCCAGAGGAAGGCAAAAAAACCCAGCAAAGCATGATGCAATTTGCTCCTGCAGGGAAAAATATTCCTTCCTGATCCCCCGAGAGGCAATCGGATATTCCCTGGATCAACTTTACCTATAAATGTTATATCCAGTTATATTCTGTGTATCCAAGAAAGAATCCAGGACTTTCCTACTGCACTCCACTGAGCTGGCCACAACCAACTCTTGAGGGAGTCTATTCCACAGGCAGTGAGAAGAAATCTACCCGTAGGAAGGGAAATTCCCTCCTGTAAGAATTATCATAGGAAAAAGGTGTCTCCACTGAAGGTTTTCTCTTGTCTATATTCCCATCGCACACATTCCTGGAAATACGGCTCATTAATAGCGACCACCAGCAAGGACTGGAAACATCATATGCAAGCGTACATATTCACCAGCACACCTCGGATCTCCAAATATGGTCCAAAGAGGTTTTCATTGCAAAAAAAGGTCACATCACAGAGGAAAAGTCACATGGTACAAGCCTGTTGTGAATAGCCTTGTACCATGTGACCTTGTGATCATTCACAGATTTTACGAGTAGTAAGCAATGATGTTAGGAAGTGACATCTTGCTTACTACTATTAACGTGATGACTGATTGGCAAATCAGTGAACACATGATCGGGACGTCACACAGAGGTCCGGACACAGCGGGCACCGATCGCAGTGCCGAGCACTCCCAGGAAAAAAGTGCAATGTTTCGGTGCCACGCAGGACCCCTTCATCAGGCATGTGTTTTCCATTGAAGGTGTATCACCGATCCTTGTTTCCATGACAACCCAATGTTTTCAGAATCCAAATGTCACAGGGACAGAAAATAAGGTGAAATCTTCTAAACAGAGGCACAGACAGCAAAACAAACATGGGAGTTAACCCTTCCGTATGCTATCCAAAAAAAAATTAATAATTTTTTTGGCTGGAGATACATTTGAAAAATGTACCTGTTCCAACTTACATACAAATTTAAACTAAGAACGAACCTACAGAACCTATCTTGTTGGTAACCCAGGGACTGCCCATACTTAGATCTGAACTCCCATCTACCTCATCCTCCTGAGGGATCTCCTGATGTTCCTGTGTGGAGTCCCGGGAATACAGAGGATGGGGACATCTCTCTGGTGGGTTCCCATTACTGGATCCATCTGTAGGACAAACACACACTGACTGAATACATTGTTTCTATGTCTTTATATCAGAGGATGTGTGTATCTAGGTGGAGCCTCAATACAAGAAATGAAAGTCTCCTCCTACCTGGTGATGTGAGAGGAGGTCGGTCCTCCATCGTGACGTCCTTCTACAGATCCTCGTGTCCTTCTATATACTCCTACTCCTCTATTTCTATGTCTTTATATCAGAGGATGTGTGTATCTAGGTGGATCCTCAATACAAGAAATGAAAATCTCCTCTTACCCGGTGATGTGAGAGGTGGTCGGTCCTCCATCATGAAGTCCTTCTACAGATCCTTTTGTCCTTCTATATACTCCCACTCCTCTATTGTTTCTATGTCTTTATATCAGAGGATGTGTGTAACTAGGTGGATCCTCAATACAAGAAATTAAAGTCTCCTCTTACCCGGTGATGTGAGGGGAGGTCGGTTCTCCATCATGACGTCCTCATACAGATCCTTGTGTCCTTCTAAATTCTCCCACTCCTCCACAGAAAAATGCACAGTACTATCTTGACACCTTACAGGAACCTGGCACACAAAACACTACAGTCACTGTGACGAACACGGTGCCCGACCCCTGCCGTTCTAACCAAATCGTGACAAAGGACTGGCCAATCTCACGCCGCACTTGCGTAACAATGCCACTCTCAGCTACACCCTGCACAAAGATTTTCCAGTTTGAGGTACCACAAACTAGATGCCATCAGCCTGAGATTGTCATTGGGACTGGGTTAAGTTAATTAAGCAATTAACCCTTTAAATACCACCACCGCCTTTTTACCGAGAAGCAGGAAACTCACAATTTTAGCAATTATGATTTCAGCATAAACATTTGTAACGTCCACATGGAAGAAAAATATATTTGAAATATATTTTTTAAATATTCTTCCAAAATATATTGACATTTATTTGAAATACAACTTTGGCTGTATTACATATGTATAAAATACAGCCAAAGTTGTATTTTAAATGTCAATATATTTGGGAAGATATATTTTAAAAATATATTTCAAATATATTTTTCTTCCATCTGGGCGTTACAAATAAATATAAAATTTGAGTTTCCTGCTTCTTGGTAAAAAGGCGGCGGTGGTATTTTAAAGGGTTAATTGCTTCATGAACTTAACCCAGTATATACATATATTTATTTTGCATGTTGAAATGCGTTTTTTATATATTTACAAAAATCTATGAGAAATAATTACATTTTTTTAAAAAATATATTCTTCAGGATTATTTATTATTTATTTCAGGTACTTATATAGCGCCGTCAATTTACGCAGCGCTTTACATATATATTGTACATTCACATCAGTCCCTAACCCTCAAGGGGTGTACAATCTAAAGGTCTCTAACTTACATTCATACATACACATACTAGGGCCAATTTAGACAGGAGCCAATTAACCTACCAGCATGTCTTTGGAGTATGGGAGGAAACCGGAGTACCCAGAGGAAACCTACGCAGGCACAGGGAGAACATGCAAACTCCAGACAGGTGGTGCCGTGGCTGGGATTCGAACCAATGACCCAATCACCATCAAGTTTTATCCCTTCCATTGTTAGATACCGTCTAGTAATTCCGAGCAACGCTCACCTCTACAGCCAGCAGCTCGATGATCTCCCTGGTGAATTCTCGAATCTTTTTGTTGTCCTTACTCACGGAGTGAGATGGGGGCTCTAGAACTGAAATTCGGGTCTTCCTCAAACTGGATGTGACCAAGCCATCGGAAAGTTTGAAAGCTATATAGTTCTATGTTTAAAGCAAAAAAATACTTAATTATGACACCACCCAAAGTAAACATTAATAATACATTCCTATGATGGTGTCTGTCAGCACACTGAGTAATTTCATTCTTGGTAGATGACTCCATAAAGATCTATAGGGATCTGATATGTAGGCTTGACCAGAACGCTGGCTATCAGATTGAGGCAAATATATCTGGGGAGGGGAAAGCTGGGCCAGTAAAAGGCAGGGATGGGGCAAAAAATGGATGTGTACTCATCATTTAAAGTGGTTGTAAATCCCAATATAAAAAAAAATACTTTCTGCCATAAATGAATACACGAGTCCTCCAAAAACTGCTAGTCTGTGGGCGTGGCTTAAGAACAGAGAATAGTAGGCAGAAATGTGATGTCACACAATCCCTCAGTAATACACACCCTCCAGCCTCGGCTCAAGAACAATCACTGGTGCTGATAAGTGTTGAGTTCTCGATCTTGTGAAGGCAGAGACCAGCAGGGAGAGGACACCCCCTCCCCCGCCTCTGTCACTGATGATCAGTGTGCCCTGATGATCAGTGTAGCCTCAGCAGTGCCACCTGCCAGTGCCACATCAATGCCACATATCAGTGCCAGTGCACATCAATGCCACATCAGTGCCCATCTGAGCTACCTTTTAGTGCCACCTATCAATGCCAGTCAGTGCCACCTATCAGTGCCAGTCAGTGCTGCCTATCAGTGCCACCTAACAGTGCCAGTCAGTGCCGCCTATCAGTGCCATATATGAGTACTGCCTTTCAGTGCCCATCAGTGATGCCTGACAATGCCCATCAGTGTCACATACCAGTGCCTCCTCATCAGTGTCACCTATCAGTTCAGTCTATCAGTGCCCATCACTGCAGCCTCATTAGCGCACATCAGTGAAGGAGAAAAATCACTTATTTACAAAATTTTATAACAGAAACTAAGAAAAAACTTTTTATTTCAAAATTTTCAGTTGTTTTTGGTTTGTTTAGCAAAAAATAAAAAACCCAGAGGTGATTAAATACCACCAAAAGAAAGCTCTATCTGTCTCAAAAAAATTATAAAAATTTCATATGGGTACAGTGTTGCATGACCGCGCAATTGTCATTGAAAGTGTGACAGCGCTGAAAGCTGAAAATTGGCCTGGGCAGGAAGGGGGTACAAGTGCCCGGTATGCAAGGGGTTAATAGAGATAAGATCTGATATGTGACCTCCCAGAATCCTCCTCACCTCCCTGGTCAGGTCTGTGTTTTATTAATGGAGATAAGAGTGATGTCATGTGACCTCCCGGAATCCTCCTCACCTCTCCAGTCAGGTCTGTGTTTTATTAATAGAGATAAGAGTAATGTCATGTGACCTCCCAGAATCCTCCTCACCTCTCCAGTCCGGTCTGTGTTTTATTAATGGAGATAAGAGTAATGTCATGTGACCTCCCACAATCCTCCTCACCTCTCAGGTCAGGTCTGTGTTTTTTATTAATGGAGATAAGAGTTATGTCATGTGACCTCTCAGAATCCTCCTCACCTCTCTGGTCAGGTCTGTGTTTTATTAATAGAGATAAGTGATTTAATGTAATCTCCCAGAATCCTCCTCACCTCTCCAGTCAACAGGTAGATGATCTCCAGCGTGAGGTTTAGTATTCTCTCTGTTGTGTGACTCCGTTCTGTCTCCATGCTCAGTCAGGTGATCTGATCAGGGATGATTGTACAGAACTATGTTCTCACTTCCAAAAACCAAAAGTGCTACATACATGAAAAAAATATCTGGAAAAAAATAAGCAAAGAGGGAGAGAGGTAGAAGAGGAAGGAGGGGTAAAGGATAGAAAAGTTAGTTCCCTTTCCCCACACAGATAGGATCACATCTTTCAATGACACCTTCCTCTTATAAACACTCTATTTGGCCTCATGTAGGTACCCCTAAGTACCCCTCTTGCCACCCCTATCTCCCATTTCCACTGATCCACATTAATGCATATCTCCTAGGCCAGGGGTAGGCAACCTGCGGCTCGCTAGCTGTTGTGGAACTACATTTCCCATGAGGCACTGCAACGTTACAAAACTGACAGTTACAGCTATGACTTGCAGAGGCATGATGGAACTTGTAGTCCTGCAACAGCTGGAGAGCCGCAGGTTGCCTACCCCTGTCCTAGGGAACCCCAACCTTATAACAAATCATGGGTCCAATCAGATTCACTTCCCTGAATGCCAGATGCCTGAATTTTCTGGAAAAAATGCTCCAGGCTACTCTCAGATTCAAAAAAGTCACACACACTAATAGCGTACCTACAAGAAACACACTTTGATTCCAGAAACTCAGCTACTATTTTAAATGTGCAGGCACACTATGAGTTAGGTCCAAGGAGGTGCATGACATCTCCTTGGCTTATCTTTATTATTTACATCTGACAGGTTTATTGCTCTGCCATGAATTACACTCTAGACACCTTGTGTGACAGAGGAGAAAGGCACACAGAACAGCTATGCCCGCCCTTTCCCTCTGCTGCCCATTCAGAGAAGCTTTTGTATTTTTTTAATGTGTTCACATAATACAAAGGCTTCTGTGAATGGGCAGGAGGAGGGGATGGGTGGTGGCAGGAAAGGCAAGTGTGCCCAGGCACAGAACTATGCTCCAATCCAGAATACCCATCAGCCGTGCCTGTTCTCACACACGTGTGCGTATGCGACAGTGCCAAGCAGGCTATTTAAACAGCACAGGGAGTTTGTCTTGGGTTCTACAGAGTTTGCTGATATCTGCTTCTGTGTTGATCTTCTGTTGCCATCCTGATCCATCTGACCACGCTTGAACTCTGCCAGAACCGACCCCTGGCTTGTCCTTTAACTACGTCTCTGTCTGATCCTTTTGCCTGTCTGCTTTATCATTGCCAGCTCCTGCCTGAACCTGACCACTCTTCTGCCTGCTGCTCTGCTACTGAGATGCCTGCTAGTGGCTTGTCTGACCCTGTTCTACGTGCTGCCTGTAATCTGCCAGCCTGCCAAGTGCCTGCTGTCTTTAAGGAAAGGCCTACCCATAGTGCAGGTGAAGTTACACGGCACGCAAATATGCACATGCGCAGAGCTCTTACGAGCCTAACAGATGTACGAGTGCTTGGACACAGGCGCGCACGCATGCGCACTCGCGCATCCAGGCACGCGCCTATTGCTAATCCTGGAGCCAAAAAGGCTATTTAACCTCTTGGCACCGGCCACACGCAAACGTGCGGCCTCCCGAC